AATACTGCACAAAAAAGGGGTGAATTATTTAAAAACTGGATCTTATTGTTGCATATTATATCCATACACCAAAAATTAAAGTGCATTCATTCTGTCATTTCAGAATATGTAAGAAGTTCTTTGTGGTTTGTGTCTTGGCCTCATCAGGGAATTACATTTGTTGCCCTAACTTTTCAAATTCATCGTGTGATTATGCAAGTTTTAGAGATCTGTTATTCATACACTTCAGGTTGCAGTCATAGGCTGTGGTCACTCTGTGCCATGTATTTATATAGGAGGTGAAATCTTCATAAGTTTATAGATGGACTTCTGTATTTTTGGTGTAATTTATTTCTACCACTGATTTCATTAGGATTGTGGCAAGCATTTTGAAGACAGCATGTTAAAAGAATGGAGAGCTTTAAAATATTCTCAAGTTTCTTCTTTGTCCAAAAGTAAGCCAAGTATTGGCTTGTAGTAGTCTTAACTCATCCAACATTGAAAAAGTAAAATATTACTAATAAATTATATGAGAGATCTGGCTAACTGTCACACAAGTGCACAATAGTCCTTAAAGGAATAGGCAAGTGAAACATTAATGGCCACTATCTGTTTCAAAGACTGAAGCCTGTGGTGACTCACGTACATTAAGGTAACTTGCCTGAAGCCTGAAGACTACTGCAGTGACGTGGAACTATGCATGTCAGTGGAATGAAAGAAGCAGAAAACTGAAATACAGGAAGAAGGCAACAATGTCCTAGAGAGAGACAAAAAATTCAGTAACCCTCAGAACCAGGTAGTACTGAGTAAGTGAAGGATTGGAATAGTGAACAATGTTGCAGCTTCCTTTTGTTGATTTCTGTCGCGTTCCATACAACAGGATTTCTTCATATGCTTCCCTGTGAATAACCAGAATTGCGTCATGGAAGTCCATCATCGACATCTCATGAACTTTTGGGATTTGTACAGCCAAGAGCATGTGACTTTAGTTTGATCTTGTTTTGTAGCTATTTTAATACTTTGGTGCAAGCTTCTTGTCTATAAATGAGACAGTCCACGAAAGAGAGTTGCTGTCATTTAACTAAGTAGAACTCACATTAAACTGGTATAGAATATTCCAAAGAAATCCTGAAATGCCAAATTGCTATAGTAAGAGGGAACCTTGAGAATCTATTAATGCAGGAGTAAGTATGACATTCTGTTTTTTGATATGTGTCTCCAAATAAACATAAAATATTAACAGCTAATAACTGTGTTAAACTTTCAAAAGGTTAGTAGGTATAATTTTTTACAGCAGTTCAAACTGTTGACTAAATCCAGTGTAGCTTTTTGATCATTTTATTCTCTTGAATCTGTGGGCCACCTCTTATGTAAATATGGTTAAAGTGAACTGTTGAGCAATCTAAAGTAACTCCACTCAAGCAGATAGAGTTGTGCTTGCTTTCATCAATAGTCTGCCCTGGAACTTTGGAAGCCATTTGATATGTCAGTCAGCTATGCAAACACCCACAGCATTATGTGTGTGAAGCTCTTACGCAACGCTTTTATTTGTGGAATACACTTTCAATGGGAAGATACAACAGTATTCTGGTAACTGGCATGTTATCAATTACGATAACTACTTAACCAGATTTTCTTGTAAACATACCATGCAATTCTTAAGCCAGTCTATGAAAAAATCTACTTACTTTTGGAAAGGAGACTACCTTTAAAAACATGGACATACAGAGATTTTTAGTCAAAAAGCTGAGTTTGGCTTTGTTTTCAGCTCTGTTCCATTTCAGTAACAAAATATTATTATGGAAGTAACACATTGCTGCTACTTTATATGTTAAAAAATAAATAAAAAAAAAAAATTATTCAGACATCATAATTTTGATGGAGTTAGGTTGGGGTTTTGGTTGGTTTTGGATTTTTTTCCCCTCAGAAAAAGCCTGGTGTCTAAGTTACGAAACCAAGCAGCATATTCCATTTAAAAGTATTTTCAATTTATTGTTGTTACTGTTTAGCATATGTGAAAAACCATTTAATTATCATCTTGTTAGATATACAATGCTGAATGCACATTTTCAAATATGTGATTTCAGCCAATCCTAGAATGGAGTCCATTACATGTTTTCTGTTTTATCTTTAGCATTACACAAACTAAAACAATGCAGAGAAGAGCATAAACAAATTAATTTGTAACAGATGGAATGAAAGTACATTTTGACAAACACAGAGTTACCATGTTGTGGTTGTACAATCTTTGACCCTTCCATATTTCTACGTGACAACTGAAGGAGATTTGAAACTTTCCTGGATGAAAGTCATACAAATGAGAAAAAGTAAAGCTTTATATTTTCTAAATGGTGCTTAACACCTGCATTACAGCTTATGAGGGAAAAAACAGTGGTTCCTTGTATTATGAAAGCTTCAGTGTGCTTGCAACTTCTTCTGAGTCTGAATGATAAAAGGATGATATTATGAACACGTTATCTTGTATTTGCTGATTTTAGAATCATAGAATTATAGAATGGTTTGGCTGGAAGGGACCTAAAATATCATCCAGTTCCAACCTCCCTGCCACGTTGATCAAAGCCTCATCCAACCTGGCCTTGAGGGCTTCCAGGGATGGGGCATCCACAGCTTCTCTGGGCAACTTCTTCCAGTGCCTCACCACCCTCACAAGGAAGAATTTCTTCCTAATATCGAACCTAAATCTTCCCTCTCCCAGTTTAAAGCCATTGCCCCTTGTCCTAGCACAACATGTCCTTGTAAAAAGTCCCTCCCCAGCTCTCTTGTAGGCCCCCTTTAGGTACTGGAAGGCTGCTCTAAGGCCTCCCTGGAGCCTTCTCTTCTCCAGGCTGAACAACCTCAACTCTCTCAGCCAGTCTTCATAGGAGAGGTGCTCCAGCCTTCTGATCATCTTCATGGCCTCCTCTGGACTCACTCCAACAGATCCATGTCCTTCTTGTGTTGGGGGCCCCAGAGCTGAAGGCAGTACTGCAGGGAGGTCTCACCAGAGCGGAGCAGAGGGGGAGAATGCCCTCCCTTGACCTACTGGGCACACTTCTTTTGATGCAGCCCAGATTACGGTTGGCTTTCTGGGCTGCAAGCGCACATTGCCAGCTCATATTTAGTTTTTCATCCATCAAGTCCTTCTCTGCAGATCTGCTCTCAATCCACTCATCACGCAGCCTGTATCCATGGCTGGAATTGCCCAAAGTTGTTAAACTTGTGTCAGATAAAATACCTGGGAAGGTACTCAGCTGAAAGTGCTAATATAATGGGAACAAAGACCACCAATTTCTTGTGCTAGCTATTTCTAGAAGATATAAGATGGATTTAATACAACTGACTGTTTTTTCCTTGCTTATAGGAAGTGATAAACATCTTGATTTAGTGTAGAATTGAGAAACAGCATTTTATCCTTTATACATACTTTTGTCAAAAACCTGATAATAGAGTAATTAATGATCCTTGCCATATTTTCCTTTACTTCTGTGCAAACTCTCCCAGGAGCAGCAAATCTGAAAAAGATTTCTGTGAAGAGCCAGGTCTTTACTGGCCGTATTAAGGTCTATGACACGTGCCAGTTTTCAGTATTGGATGTATCCAACAGGTCTAAGACAGACCTTTCTTCCTTTTATGCTTATATGACTTCCATTTGTGTACTCTTTGAGAGTCATCTATTTAGTATGTTTATTCTTGCACAATCATTCTGATGATAGGTAGCCTATAGACTTCTTGAATAACGCAAACCTCTGACTTGACACTGTATATAATTCTTGTTTAACTGAACCACAGCCATACATTTTTGCCATCTAGTCTTTGTTTAAAGACTTCAGGTGATGGAGAATCTAATTGTAACCCTCAATACATTGTTTAAATGGTTAATAAATCTGAGTTTAAAATGCCATGCCTTTTTCCACTTTCTAAATTCAGAGTCCACCACTGAGTAACAATTTTTTCAGTTGAATCATGCTATGAACAGGTATCGCCCTCCTTGCAACAGTCATTAACAGTAGTAAGATTCCCACTACAGGTGACTTGCTGAATGATCTTGAATTTTTGAATGATTCTTAGTGCAGGCTACTCTTGAGAAATGTATTGCAATTATTAAATATTTGAAATTCACAATATGAAGTTAATTAGTTGATGCAATGTAATTAGTAAAGAGAAATACTACCAGGTAAACAGATTTCAAATAATACATCAAAAATTGTTCAGAGGAAGTGTGCAACAAGTATTAGTCTTCAAAAGGAAGATGATGGTGTGAAAATTTGTACTGTGGAATGTAAAACTCCTTTTACTGCTTTTGTTCAATATTTCTCTAAGAGTTCACTTCTTCCAGAAGCATTCCTTTAAGCATACTCATTTATTGAACTTTTTGGGAAGAGCCAATGTAGAAGGAGGGCAAACACTCAAATTGCATTTTAAAACATTCTTTGATGTATTCATCTGGCTCTGAAACGCTTACATAGAAAGCGATTTTGTCTAACCAAGTCTCTGAGATCATGTGCTTCTGAATGCCTTCCAATTTAGCTAAAAAATACTGACTTACATCAAACAAGATTCTTTGTCCTTTTTTTCTTGTTCCTTTTGGCTTTGTCTGTACTATGTTTGTTACTTTGGGTTGGGTTTGGGGTTTTTTTTAGGAGATTTCTTTTTATTTTATCCCCTCTAACATGTAACTAGCCTGAGTGATAATGTTTTATTTCTAAATCAGTTGAGTCAGTTATGCTCTCTCTATACCTCTGAAGCCTAAGAGGTTTAGGCTCCGATTCAGGAAAGCACTGGGGTATATAGTTGAATGTGATACTGACAGCAATTTCCTGGATCAGAGCAGTGAAAGGGACTGGATGATCCTTTGTTATTTTTGGTCTATTTTTATTTCAGAAGTGTTGTGTTAGGCACAGAATTGCTGTCTTCTTATGTTGCAATTGAGTCTTGATAACTGCAACTTCTCAGTAACATTCCTGCCTAGTGAGTCATAGCAGATGTAAGCTTGAACTCTACAGAATTTAATAGCAAAAACAATCACAGTCTGGGAAGGGCTCTGGGATTCTTTGCATCAGCTTAAGAAGATTTAACAACTTTGAGTTCTGTCCAGAGGGTAAAGGTAAACATTTTAGGTACCTGTGAGGGAAGAAGAAAGAATCTGAGGTAATTGCTGTAGTTATGGTTTAAAAGTGTTATGTTTTTGAAGGCCATATAACTGATGCAATGTTGCTAATGATGTACGAATGTTTTAGCAGGATCTAGCTCTTTTGCTACAATATCTAGTTAGTTAATAAACATCATACTCAAATCTGTAGTTTCTAAATTTATAATAATGTACGGCTGTACAAACAAGGCTGCTTTTTAAGCCTAAAAGCAGATCAAACCATGAATTACTGTCCATTTTTCAGATGAGGAAAATGGGGCAATTTTTTTAACACTACTTAATTAAAATAAAGCAAAATTTGTGCATGAGTTTAATCATTAAAATCAGTTTGAGTTTTAAGAAAGCAACCAAAAATCTTTCAAGTCATTATCTGTCCATTTGGCAGATTGTCTTTTATTATTATTGTATTTATCGGCAATGCAATTCTTATTGACATTGTGCAAACAGAAATAGGCATCTCAATTCCATCTAGTTTGCTGTCTCCAGAACTCAAGAACAAGAAAACAGGCTCACAGTTCAAAATTTTCATAGCACAGAGTTTCTCTAATGTCATCAAATCTATTTAGTAACTTGCTATTGAAAGATTTGGAAAAACATCACATTCAAGGGAAATTTGAACATAGAATTGATTGTCTGAGTAGCCTGTAAAGAAAGCCCAGGCACAGAGAAGGAAAAAGATACCTTTCTAGAATTTTTATTCTGGAGCTTTGGAGAAATCTTTCTACATAGCTGTGCAAGTGCACATTCCAGGTGTAATCTTTGCATAGTAAATGAGTGATCTCATGGATAAAATTTCAAGGTTTCACAACAGTTGCCCTTAAACTTCAATTTTATTAAAACGGAAAGCGATTCTTTTTTTCAGCTAACTGTCAAGGGCTTGTGTTTTCAGCTTGAAAATATTGCACTAAATTTTTCCTCACTCTATCATGATGCATTATAATTAATACATATCTACTGTCTGAGATTAAGATTTCCCTGGAAAGGGATCTCCCCTGCACAAAGTTGTTTCTTTGTTTTTATTAAACCAACACAGGTGTTATAACAAATAAGTCTTGGAAGTCTGTCAGCACTTATTAAGTCTTTGGATTCACTAGCATCAACAACACAAAAATATTTGCTAGGTTATACAATTGTTTTCATCTGTGACATGGATTAAGATTTGTAATTTTTCTGCAGTTTTTTGGAGTGAATGTTTTTATTGCATTGTGTGTGAAGTTTATCTCTGGTTGTATTCTCTCCCTACATTTTTAATTATTTTACCCTCCACTTACATTTCTGGATAATGCATTTTAAATAGCTATATAACAACCAGGATAAATATTTAAATGAGTGGATATATTAGTTTAAGAAACTTTCTTTCAAAGCATTCTTCCTTGAGCAAGATTTTAAGCTTCCCTTGAACAAAACTTCAGCTTTACGTATTGCCAAAGAGCATGTATGTACACTTTCAGAGAACTGTTACTAATACAACCTTTTCTGAAACTTTTTGTAGAAATGTGGAAAACTAAGTAAACAGTTACCTACATTAATTCCAAGACTGAACCTGTTGTTTCATTTAGGGTACACAAAGCACTTTGAACATATATGGGGCTTGACCCTATTTACCACTTTTCTTATCACTGTAGGGTTGACCACTCAGTGACTCTCACGTCACAGCAGCTGTGGGATCAGATAAACTACGGGAGTTTATACCTGCTGAGAAAGTGGCTCAAAGGTACAAGGTGCTGCCCCTTCCAGGATCAGCAGTGTGCACCGTCCTCCCCCTTGTCTGGGTCTCCCTGCTGGGCAGTGACAGAAGCAGAGAAACACCGTTAGGTCAGCCATTTCCTTTCAGAGCTTGAGTTTTCATGTCTCTTCCTAGTCTTCTTGACCTTTCTTCGTTTCTGGGAGGACATCAGCACAAAGATTTTGGTCCCCCCAACGCTTGTTCCTACTTCAGGTCCACTCTGTGGTTTTTTTCTTGTGTCCTCTCTGTTTCAGTGTCTTCCCTGTTTCTGACTGACAGGTCTGCCAAATGGAGCTCCCAGTTGCTCTCTCTTTATGTGTCTCTTAATTTTCTTACAATCATAGTGAGCTCATATTGTGAGTGACTACAGGATCAATAATCCACCTTGAGTTAACTGTCCAACTTCCTGTCTTAGAAATTAAACTCCAAGATTAAAATATCTTGAGCAATGTGTTTAAATCTTCACATTTAGAATTTTATTTATGAGACTATTCCTATATTTTGGTATGTCTTTTGAGCATGTCTTAGTTCAATTGTCTTCCAAGTGCAGCCCTTATGAAGTTCCCCACAACAGGAACATGCTTTAGAAAGAGGCACCCTTTAAATAGAAAGGTGATTTCATCTGAAGATGACAAACCAAACCAACTGCACACACTCTACGCTCCTCAGCTCTTCGTTCATTTTGTGCAGCTTGCTCATAGTAGCTCATACGTGCTGTAAGGGACGTGATCTGCCTTGATTGTGCCTGATAGTCTTCTATTTTTATTTTTTACTAACATAAATTTCTCTGAACAGTATGCAAGATTTACTTGATAGTCTTTTTTAAAAAAAGAATACTGTGGTTGTAAAGCTGTGCAACCCTTTTAAGATTGATTGTGGTATCCAGGCATTCACAGTCAGTGAAATCGTGATAGAACCGTTTGAATATTAAGACTAATGTGAGGTAAAACAATGTGCTTTTATAATGACAATAATAGAAAATGAAGTAGAACAGTTAAATATGAATTTTCCAGTGAAAAAAATATAGTCCCTTCTCTCCTAGAAAACATATTTAAGATATGCATGGAGTCGGGATAGCAATTATCAGAGACAGATCATTTGCAGATTTTCCAGATAGCTAATGTACTCTGTGGTCACTCCTCTCACAGACAGTGTCATTGCAACAGATGGCAATAGCTGCTTTCAAAACAGTGGTGGTTACAATAGCCATAATTACTACTGTCATAAGGTGAAAGTTCATGTTTTATCATGGCAGAAACCTCTGAAATCAAATTAATAACATAATTAAATGACAGGCAATTCTTGCATTTTTCCCCATCTCATTTTTCCAGCCTGAAATTCATAGGCTTCACCACTTCAAATGGCAGCAGAACTTGTTGCATTGAATAATGGTAAAATTTCTAATTTAAATGATCTGACATTCATTTGGTCAGCACGAAGAACAACGTACAGCTTAAAATTCAGAAATTTTATGGCATAGAAATAACTTAGCCTAAGATTTTCGGTTCACACTTTCTACTCAAGAAACATTTTATAAGTAATTTCTAATAGATTCCTTTGGAATCCTTAGAGATAGACATCAGCTTAGTATAGTGCTTTGCAGCTTAATACTAGATATTGTATATGTCCAAAATGCTTAAGAAACCTTCTGAGCTGTCTGTAACATGAGTCAATGGGTACAGAGTACACTCAACTCCTTGTGTCTGCATCAGTCCAGTGCAAGAAGCGACATAACGAGCTTTATACAGATATACGTGGGCCTCACAACTCTATGATTTCAAATATGATGCTTTGAAACCAGCAACACTCAGAACTAAAAATAAAACCAATGTTGCTTACTTAAATGAGATAACTAATTTTAAAAAGCAGCCTGAGTGTTTTATAGGTACATGTTGAAAACCTGAAATTTGGCTGGGCTGTAATTTGTACTCTTGCATGAGGTTTTCAGAGGTTGGTGAAAATAAAGTTGGACTTGCTCAATTTTACGAGAACTTAAAAACATACTTCACATAAGCACCGTGCTTATCTTTGTACAGTAAAAAGCACAGTCTGCCAAAGTTCCACTGGTGTTTTATATTAATTCCTGTAGAAACATGAGCGGAAATTTCCATAAAGTTGTTGTTTCAATAAGCACATGCTGACATTGAATCATTAATCTCTATTACAAGTCTTATGCTTTGTCTAACCACAAATGTTTTAAGATGTAGCTAGCTGATTTAGTTTAATAAGTAGAAAAAGCAAGTGGACACATATTTTGGTTTAAACAGGCATTAGCATATACTAAATGAAAATATTTTAAGGTAAAAAAAAAAAAAGAAACATTCCTCAGTTGATAGCTTGCAGCAGTTTAGAATTGGTTCATTTATGATCTATGTAAATATTTTAGTAATTGGAGGCCTTGGTTTCTCATCTGTGAGCTGAAAAGCACACATCTTCCTTACAGAAAATTGTGAAGTTATATCAGCTAATGGTGATTGCCTGGCATATAAAATAATTTTCATAGGAAATAATGGAATTTAAAATGCTGTGGGTCATACAGTACAAAATATGTATAGCTATCAGTTGAAAGATGTCATTCTTGTCACTGTTAGAATTAAAGCTGATAACTATTACACATTTTTCCCCAAAATTATAATAGTAAAATTATCTCCATCCTCTCCTGGCACACAAAAGTTGCACAAATCTTTACTTCAAGGACTACTAGGCCAATTCAGATTTTAATTACTTGACTATAACAGAGAGCTTTCTCCCAACTTTAAAGGACCAGCAAGGAGTATTGCCCTGCTATTCAGAGCGTTTTAAAATGCTGCTTTGCCTTTGTCTTGTTTCACAATAAAATGCGTGGGTTTGAATCTTGAATAGCTGTCCTAAAATACATGGAGAGCTCTGATACACAGTGGCCTAAAAAGGTAAATTCTGATTTTACTGGCTTTTGGAGTTGTACTTGATCAGACTATTTAGACATTTGTAATGAAGCCTAAATATACATTATATTGACAATATGTAAGAAAATAATTATAGGTTAAATAGATTATTTCAAATAAAATTTAAGATGTCAGGTGTAAATATTTAGTTTTATTGTTTCAGTTAACTAGTATTTCTTTTGTTCCTCTACTTCACAGCTTCCAAAGAATGAAGATTTTCATGATGATTGATTTTGTCCTTGCCGCTAGCTTGATGGATGCCATTGGCAGCTCTGTAAGTTCTAGTAATTAAATTTGCCTGTAGAGTTTCTTCTAAGTATTTCATACCTTGTCCTCCGTAGTGCTTACAATGTATCTCCGCTACATGGGATGGTAGAACTTTTGATGGGAAAGATTGGAATTCAGAACAAAACTGAAAGACTGGGGAAATAACTTCAAATGATGTTCAGTGGGGACAGGTTTCTGATAAGGAAAGAGGAAACAAATGCATAAATATAGAATGGAAGATAAATGACTGAGCAGTAGCAGTGAAGAAAGCAATCCAGTTGATTTGTTATTGCATCTGACATGAAATATGAGGTGATAGAATATCTTTGATAAAAAAGGTATCATATGATGCATTAGCAGGCACATTGTACAGAAGGCACACAAGATAGTTATACTACCATTCAGGGGTAATGCTAACTCAGAATAACACCTTTAGTTTTGAGCAGCATGCTTACAGAAAGGCAAAACCCAGGAACTCCTAAAGCGGCAGCTGCAGAGGTGGTATTTCTGGTCATTGAAACTCAGGATGAAGACTATTTCTATCCTTTTCTACCTTGTCCACTTGCCATACAACTTTTTCTCAAATAAGATCCACACCTTCATATTCTTACTTGTTCCCATGTTACTATGTTGTAATTCACACTCAGAAACAATGATCAAAATGTCCTTCGCTTCCAGCTCCCAAAACCTTCTGCTATGTATTCTGCTTCTCCAACAAAAACCCTAACACAATCACACTTACTCCACTGCTTAAAATACTTCTAACCTCACCAGTCCTGTACTGCCTGTCTTGGCTGTCCTTCCTAGTTTGATATTGAGGTCCTAACCACCAGGGATCTGGGAGATTGAGTTGCTGATTCATAATTGCCTAGGTGGAAGTGGTTGCTGAATTTACAACTAGGTGAGCATCATTGTTTGTGGCTTACGTTATCTTATGGAAGCCTTTTGTTCAGATAAGTAGCTCTATAGGGGTAGAATAGGAAGCACCTGCCTCTCTAATCACTTCTGCTCAGTGGAGAAAAATATTACTAGTTTTTATAGAAGCCTACTGAGAAAAAGGCATTACAATGAAATGCATTTGCTTTCTTTTGAGTTTTCATTTGGAATATTATGGGCTTGAGCTGACCCTGTGTCTAAAAACTGGGAACATTCTGAAATTTATCTCTAAGTTTTCACATTTTAATCTCATTAGAACAGTAATCTCAATAGAGATTTTTGGAGGTCATTTACATTCTAAAAATATAGGAAATAAAACCTCCAGTAAAAATTTTGTATTTTTTTAGTTTTCATAAAGTATTCTAAGTCTAATTTATAGCATCAATTTTAATGGAAGGTCAGTAGGTGCTAAATAATTCACACAATAATGAAATAAGGATTGTGAATGCACATTAATTGCAGCAGCTGTTTAAATATGGGACTGTATGTCCAAGAGCAGAGCTGTCAGCAGTTGTTAGATAATTGCTTCTCAATGTGTACTACAAAGAGTTGCTTCACTGAGACAGACAGAACAGGTTATGTTCAGTCTGGCTTCAATCAGTGGGCACTACTGTCCACTGGAGACAATAACAATCAAATTCACATTTTTTTGAGTATTTCAGCATTGTAATAGTCTAACTTTGTTCCATATCTAACAAAAGGAATAGCAATATGTTATAGTTGCTGTCTCTTATAACCCTAAGTTACATTTTGCTTCTGTGTTACTCTAGCTGTGCACTGGTTTAACTGCAATGATTTTAAAGGTGTTATCCTGTGAAAAAGTGTAGTAGTATGTTAAAAGAACAGTCTGGTAACCTGCAGATCTAAAAGCCACATTAATCCACCCTGAAGTTACACAACTAACTTGTGATTGTCCCATGGGAAAAATAGGTGCGGAGTTCCAAATATGAGAATTAAGTTTTTGCTGTCCAGCAGCAAAGTGGAATGGGATTTGTTTGGAGTTGACAGAAAGAGACATCAGCGAGGAGGCTGTAGTCAGGGAGAGAAAGCCAAGTATCAGATACCAGTACTTCTCATATGTAGGTTGCTTTCAAAACTCTATTTCTGCTCAGTCATTTCTTTCTTATGGTGTCGTTGTTCATTATGGCTGGTGATTTCTTGATTATCACTTACTATTTACCAGCACACTGAGCTTAAATCCTTTTCATCAGGAAATTGCTATACGTAACGTAGATTTATTTCCGTTTACCCTATAATGAGTGTATTGTCTGTAAAGCAGATGAGAATCAGCTGTTATTCATTTTCATTAATTAATTCACAATTTTAAAGTAAACAGAAAGAAAAGATCAATTTAAAATGCAAAGTTAATAATATTTAGAGACATAGCCTGTTGCAGACTTGTGTTTAATTTGATTCAAAGGAAAGGACCTTTTATGGCGGTATATGAAGTAGTATCATACAGAATTTAGATACCAATTTTTTTAAGGTACAATAATATTTTTTGAGAAGTTCTGTACTTTTACTTAATTTAATCACAGTAGGAGAATGGCTTTCAGCAGTACGAATAGGTGAATTGATACATTTTCACTACACCTGAAAGAATGACACTGAGCTGCCTGTAGCTGCCTCTCCTCAAATGCACAGACTCGTGCTCTTTCCAGAACAGAAAGTAGCTCTTCCTGGCTCAGACCCTGCCATGTGTTCACGAGACTGCCTGCCTGAAGTCTTGCCTATGAAATTGCAAGGGCCTGGCGACAGGGGCCACCATTTCCAGGATCACCCAGGTCTTTCCTATTGTATTTTACCATGTTCTCCAAAGTTGCGTGTATTGAGTTAAGACTGATACAGGCTAACCTTCTTTTATCTTCAAATACCCTCTTGAAATATCTCTAGTTCATTTGTCTATTTGTTGAAAGTGAATTGCATCCTCTCCAGTGAAAAAGCAAAGGGGCCTGCAACACTTATTTCTATCAGAAATAACAGATCATGGTCATGATGCAGTTTATATGGACGTTCCTTGACAGTAGCAGAAGTTCCTCTGCTTTTTAATTAGTACCACAAATTAATTATTAAAAAAATCTGCACGCAGTAGAGTCATAAAATGCAGATTCTAATTAATACTGTTAGTTTAATTCACAAAGTTTATTCTTGGAGTTGTGGTGAATGGTACTGCAATGAAGTCAGTCTAACCAGAACCATGTTTGTGCTGCATAGAAACTTACAGAATGGTATCAGCTTTTCAGCTAGAAGAAAAAAAAAATCACTGCAGCAAGAGAGTGACAAGAAACATTTTGGTGGGAGTGTTCATGGAAAACAGGTGAAGCCTGAGTCTGATACAAATGAAAATATGCGGATGCCACTGGAGGCATTTAAAACAGTGTGCTACTTCAGATCTCTTTATAGTTCAATGGGATAGGGCAATGTTCTAAGATACCAGCTCTTCCATATGGATGACAAATGTTACAGGTCTACATCCTTAGCTCGTGTACATAATGTTGCCCTATGAATAAGGTTACACCAATTTAGAACTACTGCATATTTGATCTTGCATATCAGATTTCTAAAAGATTGCCCTCTGATTTTGCTTCTACAGTGCTAGTTGTGCTCTCATGCAAGCACCATAGCTACTAAACTGTTTGCTTATATAAAATTACAGACACAATGTTACTGATGCAAAATTTCATCTGACATATATCTATTGAAACTGTACAGACTGTTTTAATTTAAGCTCCCTAGACTGGGTTCTGTTCACTTTGGCTATTTGACCATAGTCATTAATCTAAAAACAATTATTTATTGCTCTGCGTACGTTCAGCATGTCAGAATTTGGAACAGTTATTCCAGCTTTCTTGTTATGTATCCATATTTGCACCAGGGTAAAATGAGTGCTATGTATCACCATATCAGAATCGCCACATTTCTCACCCACTCTGCATGGCAAAATTAAGTGTAGAAGTCACAGCACAATATTGACTTTAAGTTTTTAATTTTTATTTTTCATGCATGTTTGCAGCTCCTGAGACACTTTATTTTAGCATGCCAAAAATGAGCTTGAAACTTTACAATATTTATGTTGGCGATGCTAAGGTTCTTATCATAAGTGTGTAATCTAAAAGCATTTGAAAAATGCACAATGAAGTTGAAAATGTATTAGTGTGGACTGTATTTCTTTAAAATTCTGGAATTTTAGAACCTTCACAATGTTAGTAGCAGACCTCACTGGATAGTAAATCTCTGTACGTGGCAGGTGATAGAGAATAAGCAATCTTTATGATAGAGTCTGTACTACAGTGTTTTTCCCTAAAGTCCCCTCTACATGTTTGCAGTGAGAGCTGGTAGTTATAGCCACCAAAGAGAAGGTCTCTTTGCAAAGCAGGTATATATTTAGGCATTCTGTAATATAGGAAATAATTTTAAATAGAGGTAGCAATTGAGGTGGAAGTCAATATATAGGAAATTGAGACTAAAAAGTTTTATTCAAGTTAAATTTTATTTATGGTTTGTTTGGTTGTTTTTTTGTGTCATGTTAAACGTGACAAAAAAAATGTTGATTTTACAATAAGATACGTTTTCCTCTCTAGGATCTACAGAACTGTTTTCAAGAGCAGATACGACTTCAGGGCCAGGTGAGGCTTCTGGAACATCGTGTGAAACAGCAGCAGCTAAAAATTATACAGCTTTTAGAGAAGAAAGAGATTCAGAACAGTGACAGAGGAGATGAAAAGAGTGTCATTGACTTGGGAGGAAAAAGACAGTATTCAGGTTAGAAATGAAGCTATTCTTTTCATTTCCATTCATTGTAATGATACCCAGAAGCTTTAGCACAATCGGTCCCATTGACTTATTGTTTTAAAAGCTCATAGAAAATTGTTTGTTTAAAATGCAGTGTTCAGCTTTTACCTAGGCTTGCTGCCCCAGGGAAAAATTCTTAATGTCGCACAGTATAAATCAAATCAGGATTGAAGCGGTTTATTGATTTATTAATAGCCCATAATTAAAAAACAATCCGTGAACAATAAATTCAGAATAAATATCAGCATTACAACAGATAAAAGTCAATATTAGACATTTACAAAATGTTAATAAAGTAACAGATTTCTAAACACCCTTCTTTGACTAATCTTAAAAAGTTCTAACCCATAGGGTCAGCTTACATTTCACATATTCACAGAGTTGCATGGGTTACAAAAACACACCAACTCTGTTCCAATCTATAAAGTCCGTGAGACATCCATATTTACACACATAAGCCTGGCACAATGACACCTGCATCTCACTTTAATAGTATTCTGTATGTTGCACCATTTTGACGGAGTTAGGTTCAGCTCAGGACATCACAGCTTCTAAAATATTGGTTTTAAGTTGTTTTTGTAATCTCACCAGCATGCTGGTGGTGATCCGGTCCCTCTGCAGTAGAAAAAAGCGAAGTGTGTTAGCCCATAGTAGCTGGAGTGGGGCCCAAACTCTTAAAATAATAAAACTCCATCCAAACCAACAGTTGGACTGAAAATACAATTTGGGGGTCTGATTCTTGGATGGTGTTCATTTCTAGTTTTTCAGTGCTAGACAGTCTAAATTCTATAATTTTTAATAGCCTTATTTGAATATACTTGTAGTGTTTATGCTGCTGGAAGAAATCACAACATATAACATACAACAACAACTTTAAATTTTAGATGTATATTTATTTATGTATTCAGCATCCTGGAATACTTTTTTTTATTATTAGGGCTGACTCATTTGTTACTGCAATATATTATTAAAACCACATTTAGCTGAAAGGTATTTGTCCTTTCTTAGCTTATGCTTCAGTTTATTTTCTTAAAATGTGATTCTAAATAACAGGTCTAAGTTGTTCTGGTTTCTGATGATTCTATTTTCCATTATTTTTTCACTTTCCTTATAGCTTGGAAAATGCTTTTCCTTGTTAATACTGCATTATTTCATTCAAACTGCTGTAACATTTTAATATCAACAGAGCTGGATAATTTGAGGTTAGATAGTGAGGGAGAAATTCCACACTATATAGACCTGCTAAAAATTAAAATATGCCTAAGTGTTTTGCTAAGTTACGAAGAAAATAATCGACAAGAAAAGCTATTTTCTATAAGCAAATCAAACATTCTCTAGAAAGACAACTTAGCTGTTATTTAAATAATGTTTTCCATTAGAGTTTATTGAAATCCTGACATAGCTATTTGTTTTCAGTATAAAGTGTTTATTTTCTATGTCTAATCTTCACTGACACTTTCACTGAGAAGAAATATAATAGTTCAGAAAGTTCCAAACTGGCCTGGAAGTTCAGCCAACATGTTCATAAATGTTTCAGGGAAAATATTACAGTTAATCAGCCTTGCTTTTGCCAGGAAAAACAGAAATGTTGAATATTGTACATCTTTCCTGTATGACTGCTTAATGGTAGATTGCATATAAACTAAGAACTCTTCTCATTTCTTAACTGCTAGAGGAAAAAAGATAAGGTTATACAATTACGCTGCTGTTACATTTTCATGAGCTTGGAATTTTGTCATTGCTGTAAATGCTGATTAGTCATTAACACCAATGTGAACCAGACTGTAAATGCTATCAAGTCAAACTGGTAGCATTTTACACATACATTGCACTTTTTGGGGGTAGTCTTCTATATATTTTTGCACCTGTTTTGTACAAGGGACAAAAGTAGCAGGTCCAGCAATTGTTTTCATTATCTAACACTGGTGGTTCGATACTCTTGGTTTTGGCAGTTCTCCTGTGGACTTTCTGGATGTAGAAGTACATGTTTGTTTTTAAAGGTTACTGTGTGCTTTATATGTAGAGAAATTACATGATTGTAACAGGATTCTAATATGGATGATACCACTGTAAATTAAAAGTTACACCACCTAAACCAGAGGAATTATTTTGCTAGTCAAATGAAAACAAAAATGATAATATTTTATGATGGAAAAAAGATTCTTTTAAAGAAATGTCAAAATAATTACAGCTCAATAAAGTTTTAAAGCAACACAAATACAAGAAAATGCCCAAAAGTCATAGAAATATGTTTTCTGAGGTATTTCCTTTGTATTAGCCTCGTTTGTATGTGACATGACTTGATTTCTGATTTTGCCAGTAAATATAGGACTAAAAAAACTGTGTCCAATGAATGTTTTGTTAACAGATTGTGCAGAAATCTACAATGATGGCCATAAGCAAAGTGGATTTTATAAGATGAAACCTCTCCAGAGTCCTACAGAATTCCTTGCCTTCTGTGACATGTCTGAAGGGGGTGGTTGGACTGTTTTTCAGAGACGTTCTGATGGCAGCCAGAATTTTGATAGGTAGGTACTAGACCTAGTCATTAAAATTGGAATCAAAGTGCAGAAACATTAAACCAGATGGAGCTAAGTTAAATCTTAACTTTAGAATTATATGAATAAGTTGTTATCACAGATAAAAGGAAGGAATGGTTATTCCGTGGGACAGCCTCCAGGATGAGATAACACTTCTGGCTCTGTCTCTCTTCTGGGAGACATCTCTTGTAGTCTTGTTCTGACAGCTTGTGCATTTTACATGAGGACACTTCAATGTCAAATGCATTAACAATTGTTGGAGCAAGAACTCTTAATGACAAGTAAAGGACTACCTTGTCTTTTGCAGATACTAAAAATCTAAAATGTAAAAATGCATGCAATCTGCTTGAACCGAAATACCATCAGCAAGCAACCATGAGAGCAACCCACCACAGAGTAATTTGTAGCTCATAGTAAAATGCCTCCAGGAAAGATAAGATGGGTGAGAACTTGATTCGTGGACACCTAACCTCCTTGCCTTTGCCAAGACTCAAGCATTTTTGGGGAAATGTCCAGAAGTGAAATTTTTGGTGCTGTGAGAATTCAATATAAAAAAAATCACAAATATTTACATATATTAGAAGCAACAAGAAAGTTTTTAGAACCTCTGCTTTGCGCAATTTGCTTTTCACGTATCTGCATCCTCCTGTGGATTTGTGTCTTAATTCTGGTTATAATTACTGTAACTAACTTTACAATACCCTTATGAAATAGAGAAGCGATCCCCAGAGAGGATGAAAAATTGCAATCCAGCCAGGAAAAATTTGCTATTCTTATTTTATAAAATATAGTCAGACAAGCTACAGAAGCAATCTGTAGCATTTTACAATTGTTACCACCACACACCACTCCTTCTGCTCCCTTGCCAGAGACCACTGGTTACTTCAGTCACAGAGGCTGCTTTCTCTTATGACTGCCTGTCCACAGCCTAATACTTTCACCCATTGGTTGAAGTATGGTTGCTTCTCATCAAAGAAATAGATCGTGGGTTTGGCCCCATTAGAACACGTCATGAAATGAAAACCATTGAGAAAGTGTTTCAAAGGCACTGTAGTCAGGGAAAAGATTCAATGTTTTCAGTATATACGTTAATTCTTGAAACTATGTACCAGTATGAGTTCACTAACTGTTAGAATGAGTCAATAAGTCAAAGCTGGAAATGGCTAGTTAATACTTCAATTTACAAAATTATATATGCAGCTGCAGGAGTTTCACAGCTTAATCAAATCACAGAAAAAAAAAGGAAAAATGCTTGTGATACACCTACACATTCACTTAGATCCCCTGGATTTAACCAGGAAAAATGTTTTCATTTTGGGTAAATCATGCTATACCAGAGATTGAACTGAGCTAATGTGTTTTCTTCTGGTCTTAAAATCTGTTAATCTTAAATCACTTTGAATATATCTCTTAGGACTACTCTTTGGACTGGGATTCAGTGACCAGTGCAGTGTGGGATTCAGCCTTTCACATGTGAGAAATAGAAATAATTCTGTGAAGATTAACAATGTAAATAAGATAATAAAATCTAAAATACTTGTTTCTTAATGTTCCTATATATAATGAACCTACAAAGAGTTCAGGAGAGGACTACCAAGATGATGAAGAGCTGGGGCACTTGCCCTATGAGGACAGGCCAAGGCTTGTTCAGCTTGGAGAAGAGGTGGCTTTGGCAGAACCTAATACTAGCCTGTCTGTACCTACAAGGAGATCACTAAGAAAACAGAGCAGTTTGGGAGCTCATTGAGTAAACAGGCCCTTCACAATGGTGTCTGGTGGGAGGATGAGAGACAAAGTACATAAGTTGAAACGAGAGGTTCAGACTGGATATAAGGAATAACATTTTCACCATGAGAACAGGCAGCAGGTTGCCGAAAGAGGGTGTGCAGTCTCCATCCTTGGAGGTTTTCAAGACCTGACTGGACAAGGCCTGAGCAACCTGTTCTGATCTCATGGCTGACTCTGCCTTGAGCAGGGCATTGGACTAGATTACCTCCTGAGGTTCCTTCCAATTTGAATTATTCTGTGATCTGTGATTGTATGATAAAATAAACATCCAAGCAAATTTGCTTTTTTGATAAATTAGTAACTTACACTCTTTTCAGAGTCTGGACTGATTATGAAGAAGGCTTTGGAAATTTTGTTTTGACAAATGGTGAATATTGGCTTGGAAATAAAAATCTTCATTATTTAACTAATCAAGGTAAGATTTGCATAGTAACAATAGTCTTCTAGTGTTTCTGTTTCTTTGCTCTTTCCAGGCCACTTTTTGTTACCGTTTTTGTTAGCATAAATCCTGAGTCCTGTTGTTAGTCTGCAGGGATTTCTCCAAGTTTCAGAACAAAACACATTTGAATATAGGTTTTCTAACAAAAAGCTTAACCCTGTCACTGGGCCAATGGCGTGCAGGGAGCTCCTGCAAAACAGGCAACGATAGACAGGAGTATACCTTAAAAGACTTGTCTCTACCCATTTCACAGTCAGCATCACTAACAGTCCAGAGGCAGGTAGTATGCTGTACCAATTCCTTTAGTCAGGGCTTTACATGGCTGCATAGGCTATTACATGAAGTTAAATCTAGTCCTGTCCTGTTGATTAGGCTAGACTTAGAAAGTTATTTCCATCTTTCTAATAGTCACTCCATCTAAGAGAACTTCTGCTTTGCTGCAGAATGCTGCATATACAAAACTTACTCATGGACTTAGCCAGCTAATTCATATGGAAATCAATGCCACTAGGATGTGGTCCTAGTTTAACTCTTCCATCTTCAGAGTATAAAAACCTAATTTTCTTAGGTGTATGCTTACTCATTGATTCTCACTACCCTTGCATTACCATAAGGCTATTTTTTTTAGACTTTTTTTGTCTACACTTGAAAATCTGTAATGAAGTAATTCTAAAATTTTCTAAGCTGAATCAGGTGAATAAAGACAATGAATAGCAAGGTATGCTTTAATATGCATAAAGAAAGAAAACAAAAACCCATAAAATATGTTGTGATGATAGAAGATTCATGATAAAAACATGGTTAGTATTTTATTCTTCTGCTATAATACTCTGTTCTGAAAAGTAGTGAGATAGGCTAGTTTAACCAAAATAATTTGTGTTGTTATTTCTTAAGGGAACTATACTTTAAGAATTGATCTAACTGATTTTGAAGGAGAACGGCGTTTTGCACAATATGCAAGATTTGGAGTTGCAGGTGAAGAGGTAATAAAATAGTAAATAATGACTAGATGTTTTAATGAAAGTGTGGATTCTATAGACAGACAATAAACATCCAGATTCCCTAATTTTTGTAAAGATTTGCGTAGAACCTTCTTAACTTATTTTCTTTCTTACACATGCTTGGAATATTTAAATATGTAATAATAGTGGTTTACATTGATACACCAATTTCCCACTTCCTGTAATACGTATGAATCTTTTGGTTTAGCAGCCATGGATAAAAGCAGTTTTTCTATTTTTGTTGATTATTGCCAACAATAATGTTACATGATGTTCTGATTTGTTAGTATGTACTGCAAACTGACTCTAATATTGTTTTTATTATGTCATTTATACATAAGGTTATAGACAAATTTTACCCCTGGTAAGCATCTTTACACCCCTTCATTATCTAGTACACAGTGTTTAAGTGGCATGACATTTCTGAACATAAAAATACTAGCAAATGGAAGAGATTTGTTTCCTCTTTGTGGTTTCACTCTCTGACATGCTAAAAGTTAAAGACATACTGGATTTTTTTTTTTTCTTTCTTCACATTTTTCATTAGCATTCTTATGAGATGAGTTGTGGTGAATACTCTGGTACAGCTGGTGATTCCCTTACTGGTGGATTTCATCCTGAAGTAAAATGGTGGGCTGATCATCGAGGAATGAAATTCAGTACTAGAGACAGGGATAATGACAAGTATGAAGGGAACTGTGCTGAAGAGGAAAAGGCTGGCTGGTGGTTTAACAGGTATGTTGATTTTATGTCAGTATTGTCAACTATTCTGCTTCATGCATATTCATGCAATAATAACATGGTAGAAGATAGGACTGGCAGTGCTGCTGATATTTGCAATCTGCACTTGACCCCTACCAGAGATCTCAGTGTCAGTAAAACTGAGACTCACCTTAGAAGGGACAGCACATACTGCACAGCTCAAGCTGGTCTGTGATAATGCTATTTGCCATAGACTGACTTTGTCTTTGTTATCAGACAGTAAGGAGAAGATAATTCTACCCCTTTAAGGTAACCAGTTTTTACGCAAGTAGGTCATGTAGAGTTTGCAGATGTACCCCTGTTGTACTTCATTCTTGCATTTCTCCTGCATTGCACTAGACCAGATGTGGCAGTACTGCAGAATATCTGACAAGTTGAGCTAGTGCTGGGTTATTAAGCCTCATTTTTTTCACCTCAGTTCACAGCACCTCACTCTTGTCATTCCTTCTAAATCCAGATGGGAATGCATCCACTCAGTTTTTGTCAGTGAGCATGGCTCGACTGAGAGATTTTTTTAAACAGGTTTCAGTAAAATAATTTTAAAATCTCACTTACATACAAAATACCCATTCAAAAAGAAAGGATAAAACTGGTAGCCTTAGCACTGTCTGTATAAGCAGCTACATTCTTTCTCATAATTAATTTGATACATATATCCGTGAAGAGAAACTATGCAATCTAGCTGTGTAATAGGGAAGCATACTGTAACTCAGGGAAGCATACGACTCTCTTACTGTGATCTCAGTTCACTTGGCAAGAGCTGCCAGGCTGGATCAACTCCATTGTTTCTCTCTATTGTGTTATCCTTTGTTTTTGTTTTTTAACTCCTCATTTCCCAAATTCTGTTTCCATAAGTAGTCTGTGACCACCTTAGCAGATATGATGTAGGTATTAATTCAGGGTTTCACAATTAATTATTTTAATACATTTTAATATATTTGCATGGATAGTAGGTCAGCATAATGTTTGAGACCTATGGAAAAAAATCACATGTAGACAAAGCTTTTTCACAGTTCTGATGAAAGCTAAGATATAAAAGGGAAAGGCAACTGTGTTGGGCATCCTTTTCCCCTGAAATCAGAACTTTTTTGGATTTAGAGGAATATCTAGACCTCAAGTAGCATAAAACTCTGGTATCATGCCATGGAGTTCATTAAGAGTGAATCACGAATCACTTTTAGTCAACTGTATACAGATTTTGTCTTTTAAAAACTTTTTTTTTTTTTTTTTTTTAATATTGGACTGGTCTGGACAAAAGAATGACCTCTTTGCAAAAGTAACTGTACAGCAGAACTTGACAGTTATTAATACCTTGTAGTTGGTGCTACATAACTACTAAAGACAGATGACTCCTACCAGGCTAGTTCCTATTATGGCTGTGTAGCTCATGCTCTTAAAATGACAGTCTATCTGGATAATGAAAATGAGTTACTAATAGTGTTACTCCACTGCCTTGCTACTGACTTTTTTATGTTAAGCCTAACATAACACTGAATACTGCAAAGTAACCAGAATATTTCAGTATCCTTAAATCCTACCCAAAAGAACAGTACTGGCAGAGAAAGGAAAGCACTCAGAACACGTACTTGTCATGCACAGATTAGCAAACATAGAAGGAATTAGTGCTCTTGGCTGGTTTGTATAGGAGCTCCCAGCTATGAAAGAATTTTTTATAGACAGCTCTATGCTGTCTGGACTAATGAAATACAGAAACACCCAGATAATATGAATACCAAGGGATGTGACACAAGTGAGGCCACGTGGAAGTAGCTGAGATCTAGTTTAAAGCCACTGGTCTCACTTCAGTTCAGCACTTGTTATCCTGGACTTCTGCAGAAAAATGGCCTCTCTGCAAAGCTCTAGAAGAGATTTTCAGCTTGGATGCAAATCTACAGAGCTGGGTTCGCTCTGGTACTACACCCAGGTCATCAGCTTTCCTGCATCCAGGGTATTGCAAAGGTCAGTAGGTTCATAACTGGTACAAGAAGAGGTAAAAAGTCTAGTTGGGCAAGAGCTTATTCTCTCGCCAGAACTCTCACTTGTAGTTACACCAGGCATGGATGATCATAGTGGATCTGCCAGGCATCAAGTTGGGGCCACAGATCTCACTAACTCAGGCTTCCAGCCTCACCAATCATCCTGGAGACAGCAGAGCTACATCCATGTGGAACCATACTGGAGACAGTAAGTCCAGGCAGAATTCAAACAGTTCTTCAGGGAACCAAATCCATCTCTCTGCATCTGTCATACAGTTAATATATAATTCAGATAAAATGTCCACTGATAATTGAGAGTTGACTGTACTTTTGAAATTATTACAATGCAGTTTGTTACTTTAAAAATTAGCCTATCAGAAAGAAAGGAGGAACACAGGCTAACTTTAAGGTGTTCATTGTGAATAATGAATGTTGCTTCAGAACATCATATCAATAATCACATGTCAGTTGGTTCTTTAGCATGTCCAGTTACTTCAGACAGCATCCAGTCGGTTACAGAATACTGTATATTTTTGCTATTAGTGCCTTCCAGCACTAATTAAGAGTTGTTACTGGCTCGTGTAGCTGTTGACAAAATCATGTTTTGTCTGCTTCCATCAAAGGAAGTAAAAGAAGGGGTTCAGTTGATCTGGATAGCTTTTAGCAATTATGATTTTTCTAATGAAACCTGTGTTTTGATTCAAAGTAGACAGACTGCCTGCTCAACGCAGAATTTGTATGGCTAGAAAGATTATGTCAGCTCTGATACAAGTTTGTCATTCTCAAAAACAAAGACACTTTTGATATCTGCAGTTTGGAAGCTTTCAACCAACACATCACCAAAATTGAGCTTAAAAATTCTTAGCAATAAATAGGCATACATAGGGAGAGAGAGAATTTTCCTTTAAGGCTTTTAACACAGTTTTTATTTCAGTTCTCAAAAACGGTTGTTAATGGAGTATAAGCAAACCAAAGGGAGTAATATTTGCCATTAATAATATCCATAAGGTTCATTTGGACTGTTTCTGTTTGCATATTTTCTGCCGTCTGCTTTTGAAATCCACCATGGTGTTCGACAGCTAGATATTAACAGCACTTATAACAAAATACTGAATTGGCAGATAAACCAAGCCAATTCCTTACTATGTGCTGCAGAGGAAACAACTATTTTGCTTTCCATATGGTCACATAAGGATCTAAACTTCTTTCTTGTAGAAACCAAAGGAGTATCAAGGTTGTGTTGGTACCTATTCAAGCCTTTTGAGTTTTGCTAGGGGTTTTGTTTGTTTGTTTTAACCACTGTACCGCATTTCTGCTTCAGTGTGTTAAAGAACTAAAAAAACCCAATGTACTTTGTATAGTCAAATAAAATGCCAGCTCCAATGACCCAGTGAATTGGTATACATATGTTTAATTAGCGGTCAGATTTCATCTGTTTGCAAATAGAAGTCCACAGCTGAATAGGCAAACTGATGGTGGTACTCAGGTTTTGTCATACAAAACACTGTGTGGGGTAACTGCAAAACTTAAGAGGGGCTACTCTGGAACAGCAAAAAGCAGAACAGTATTTCTTTCCCAGAGTTGTGCTTGGTGTATGCCCTACTGCCACCCAGGACCTGAACAACTCTGGAATAATTCTCCAGTGAAACAGATTAGCAGGCAAGACTCAGAGAGCTAGTAATCTCAGCAAATGTGTGGAAAGAACAAAACCAACCTTTGTTTCAAAGGAGCTAAGAGCGCTTGCAGTTGTGCCGTAATTAAACTGTTACTGTTTAGGCGCACTGAAGTCCACAAATGCAAATTTTTGCAGCTGTCAAACTGGGCTATTATCAACATGGTGAAATTTTTGACTCTTGCAGAAACGACAAATGCTTGCAACTTTTCGACTGGAGGCCTTATTTCTGTTTTCCTTTACTTTTCCACCAGGTGTCACTCTGCCAACTTGAACGGTTTGTACTACAAAGGGCCCTACACTGCAAAGACAGACAACGGGATTGTGTGGTACACTTGGCACGGGTGGTGGTATTCTCTGAAATCCGTTGTCATGAAGGTCAGACCAGCAGACTTTGAACCTAATATTGCTTAAGTATTTTATTAAGACGATTTACCTAGTTAATCTTTTAGCAAATCAATCCAAATTAAAACAGATGGGCAGATTTTTGTTTCTCGTCTATGCATATATAAATCTGGAACAAATCCTCTTCAACCAGTAGTTTTGTGAGAGGTAAATGAGAAGACAATCTGGCCTATAAATCTGTAGATACAAATACTAGTGCTAATATGCGTACAGGACTTTTTTGTAAAGGGAGGCATTCACCTAGGAATAAGGACATCTTCATCAACATGAAGAATTTTTGGCTTCTGCAGTAACTACAAATCCTTTCACCTTTTAAAAAACAGTATTGTCACTGTGTTGTCTCAAAAATGAAAACGAATTGTACTTATTACAACCAAAATATTTAAATACAAGCATAATGCTGGTTTACTCAGTGGATGGAACATACTTTCTTTGGAATGGTTCAAAGCTTTAGAAGTGAGTTGCCTGTAAATTCCTCTGATTTATTTGTTGCATGTGTTGTGTACATAGCCTACATAAAAAAGTATAAAGAATGAGGCAGGGAACTGAAGGAAGAGAAGGGATGCTACCAGGCTAGAATCAATTGAATCCAGCATACAGAAGTGAATTGTCTGTTGTTGCTGAAGCATTTCTAGGGCTGGTCACATCATTTCAATCTAGATGGTCAGTAATTATGCCTTTCTTCTTCTTGAAAACCATTATGCCTTTCTTTTTTTTTAGTAACATTTGGTAACAAATCCTGGACTTTAATGTATTTGACATTTGGTGTTTACCAAAAGCCTAAATAACAAAAACTGCAACTAATTTTAACTGAATGCTTTGAACATAATGCATGTGTAGAGGGAAGTGTATTTCATGTGCAATGAAAATCTGGCATTTTAGAGGTTCTTAGTGCTTGATTCTATAAATCTTCACTTTCTCTATGTATCTGTTAGACTCCACAACTCTCCAAATTTGAATGTTCTGTTCAGTCACTTCAAGGTGGTTCTGCTTCTAAGCCTGTTATCTTCTCCTTTATCTATGTCCTTGTCTTGGCTCCCTGGGCTTTCCCTCTTCTCAAGCTGCAGATCCATATTTTTCTTGTGCAAGAAAAATCATGAGAAAGCCTCTGCCTACCCCTATCTTTTGTGCCTAGAACTACAATAGACTCTAATAGCCAGTAATAACAAGAATCACTGATTAGCGCTTGCTGCTGTGGAGAAGATAGGAACACTCTCTAGAAAGCTGTCTGATGAAATGTAATCCATTTCTGCTGACAGATGCAAATTAAGATTTTTTAAAAAACATGGATTTGAGCCACACTTGGGCACTTCTATTTCCCTGCTTTCCTGAAATAATTTTGCTTTTGTGGTTGGGCTGCCAGTCTCTCTCCCTCTGTCCAAATACAGTTTTTGAACATGGCAGCCAGTTCAGTCAAGCTTAACATAATTGAACCTAACTTTTGGCAATCTATCAGTCAGTCTATGACTACATTGATATGAATATAGGTCAGCTGAATGATAACTCCCTGTATGGCCATTTTCCTTCTATTTTCATCCTCGAAAACCAAAAGGTTGGCAAGAATCCTTCCAAGAATTGCACTGAATAAAGGAGGGAGGATTTGTAGAACGACTGGTGGGAAAAAAGAGCTTTTTTTTATGAAACATTCTCACTCAATAAGATAAACCAGATTACACCTAAACAAAAAAAGGGAATTAAGTAGAGAAAAAACACGGTTCAGGTAGCTAAAAATAATGTTATCATGTAAAAATGGTGCTGATAAAAATCTGCAGTATAGATGTTTTGAGGTCTGTGCTTTTTGTGGTACTAGCAGGTATTCTAGATAATCCAATCTTTCTCTCGATGTAGCAACAGATACTGCGTGAGAGATTTCTAGCCTTTAGCACATCCCTGTAGCCCTGTGCAAGAGGAACAATGGATAGCTCGACAACTGCTTATTTGGAACCTTGTTTAATCAGTTAAGCCAAATTAAATTCTGTATCTGACAGGAAGGCATACCAGCCTATGTATGTGTCTGTATGTATATCCGTATATAATTATATACAGATATATATATATTCAGCATTCAACATTAAAACAGGAGATCTGTTATGTATTTTTCTCCAATTTTATTACAGAATTTAAAAGGAGTTCCTTTGAGCAGGTCTGTAGGTATGGGACACCAATAACACGATGGAAGTTCTGTAGTAGTTTAAAAAGATGTTGCAAGTACAGTATTTCCCACCATGAATTTCAAATTCTTTTGCTACTCTAAGAGGAGAAGGATTTAATTCTTTGAAAAAACGTGGATGACGTACATTATATGGAAATTGTAAAAACACTCTGAGTTTTTCACTGGAAAATGGAAAGATTAGCTCATGTATTTGGAGAGTATCAAGACAGATCATATTCCACATAATTTCAATAAAAGACATGGAGGATTTAAGTACAGCAAAGTTCTCTAGCACACAAAAAAGACTCATAACATGTACAGATTGTGCTCATAAAATCTGCAGTAATTTTTTTGTTTGCTGCAGCATAAATCATAGAATCATAGAATCGCAGAATCAGAATGGTTTGGGTTGGAAGGGA